CTTCATCTAGCCTGCTTTGGATTCCTTCTACTGTGTTCTTCGATTCAGAAATTGTATTCTTCATTTCCTCTTGCCTCTTATTGATAGTTTCTTTGTCCTTTTTCATGCTGATATAGTTTGCAGTAAGTTCCTCGTAGTTTCCCTATAGTGTTTGGTAATTCTCACTCAGCTCACTGAGCTCATTGAGCTTCCTTAGATCCGTTGTTCTGAACTCAGTATCTGATAGTTTACTTGCCTCTATTTTGTTTAGTTCTCTTTGTGGGGATTCCTCCTTTCCCTTCGAGTGGGTCATATTTCTTTTTGTTCACATTATTTGTGAGACTCTTCTTTTTTGCTTCTGCTTCTTAATTTGATATGTCTTGATTTCCTAACTTTGTGGTGTGAACTTCTGTGGTAGGAGACTGCTGTTTTTTCCTTTCTTGATCTACCTCTGATGATGTCAGATGTTGACCCTGTCTGACTTTAGGCTGTATGTTCAAGACTTCCAGAAATTTAGTGTCTGTGGCTATCTCCTTCAGCTGTTAATCCAGTCACTCTGCACTCAGCTGGCCTCCTTAGACAGCTCAGAGTGGGGCAGAGTCCCTCCTGGGGGCAGGATTATTGGGTCCTCTCACGCTGCTGCCATATGGGGGAGAAGTCAGCACTAGGATCCCGTGGGTTACTGTCTCCATTCACTCCCCAAAGCCTCTGGACACAGTCTCTGTTCAAGTGTCTCCAGACCTCTCTACTTCCCCTTTAACCAGGGATCTACTATCTGTGGCTGCCACTCTGCACTCAGCAGGTGGCTTAGACAGCACAGGGCGGGTGGAGTCCCACCTCAGGGCAGGGCTGTTGGGTCTTCTGTTGCTGCTGCCACTTGGGGGAGTGGTCTGCCTGAGCTAGATGTCTGCCGACCCACGCATCATGAGTCCGCACAGAGATCCCGCCAGCTACTCTCAGTTCTCTCCCCAAAGCCTCCTTCCCCAGTCTCTCCTCAGGCGTCTCCAGCCCACTCTGCCCCTGCATTTGCCAGAGACCAGGGTAAGTGGCTGCAAATAAAAAGGTTAAAGAACCCTTTAAACGGTTCTTTGCATCTCCAGGCGCCTGTCTCTGGCAAAGAGCAGCCCAGCCGCTTTTCACAGCTGGCTGTTATCTGCATACTTTTTGGCTCTGGTACTGTAGGCTAGAGATCCCTGCTTATTGGTTTATATCCCACTCTTCTCAGGGGGATCCAATTAGCACATTCAATATCTTTCTTGTGCCTCCAGCCCCCTGGGTGCCCCACCCGACTTCTCGAGTCTCTACCGCACTCCTTACCAGTTAGATTGCGCAAAAGCCAATTCTTCTGTCTTCAAGGTTACAAGGCTCCTCTCTTACTCTTGATCAGTTATTTGTTCCAGGTGATTTCTCCACAATTTATTTGTAATTCCAGGTTGGTCCTGGGAGGAGGTCAGTGTGGTTTACACTCATTCCTCCGCCATCTTGAATCTCCTCCTAATTTTAATCTTAAATATTATCATGAGTTGACAGACTCAATTCATTTACCATGTATTTATGTATTGCCTAATAAATACCAGCCACTGTACAAGGTTCTCTGCTGGCCTCTTGGGGTTCAAGAGTGAGGCCAACAGACTGTATTACCTCTTCTCACAAAGCTTGTGGACTGCTGGAAAATACAGATAAGCAAACAGATACCTTTAATATAGACTAACAGGTAAAAATTAGGGGAATTGTGGAAACACACTTGAGGAGTAGCCAACCTGGAGATGGGGTTCAGGAAAGACATTTATAAAGGAAGTCACCTTGAAACTAGGGTCTGAAGATGAGTGGGCAATAGCCAGGTTTTAGGAATGTGGGTCGGAAGATTGGAACTAGAATATGGGCAACAGAAAATGTACAGTGTGTATTTTATAGATAGAACAAACATCAGGGTGCAATAGTGAGAATGGTGCAGTGCGAAAACTGGGGAGTCATTAAAGAGGGGCCAGAAGAACAGGGTCTCATCATGAACAACAGTAAAAGCAGCGTCGAGTAGTTTGACTCTGTCCTCTGGTTTTAGGCCAGGGAGTGTTAAGGTCAGATTTGCAGTTTAGAAAGATTCCTTTTATGTTGAAAATAAAGTAGAGAGGGCAGGAGGATGAGGTACTGAGGTACCAGTGAGAGGATAATGCTCAGGAAGGGTAGTAGCTGTGAGTTAGGATAAACATGGAGAAAGATGAATGGCAGCCTGGTGCTAAGTAGGTATGTTTTGGTGAGAGGAGATGAAGTGTTAAGACAGCCAGTTTCCTGACCTGTGTTAATTGGTTAACTGTTTTGGTGGTGCTGTCTTCACCTGAGTAGGAAATACAGAAGGGGCAGCAGGTTTGATGTGGAAAAAAGCAAGAGGGAAGGGAGGGAGCGAGCGGGGGAACATGTTGAGTTTCAGGTGATGACTATCCACCAGGTGTTGGGAACCAGCGACCCAGTTTATTGGGGAGTCATGAGTGTATACAGAGATGGGAAGGAAGCTATGAGGATGCCTGAGATCACCCAGTGGGTGATGGGGGAACATGGGCTTATAATGGAAAGTGGAGGATTATTGTATTAAATTATGGGCTGGAGAGGAAGCTCCTAATTTGATTTTCTTAAACATTTTAAGTACCTTCATTCAGCATACATAATGCTGCGTGGCTCTAGTTGCTCATTAAAGTACTGCTTCCTTCTTTTTATTATCTCCAATCATATTCTCATCTACTTGTTATATCTGGCATCTTTGTAACAGGATCTATATGAGAAATGCAGAAACACAAGAGTTTTTGCTTCTAATTCCAGCAGTTGAGTAAAATTGCTCTAAAATGCCACTATTTAAGAATTATCTTTTATTCTTTAGTTATTAGCATGAAATGAGGAAGCCTAGTTAAATCTTATGTTTTTCATTTTGTTTTTCCAGGTATATAAAATATAAAATGGAAACCAGAAGCCCAAATAGTAACAATAAAAGCAGGACAGCCTTCTTGAGGGTGTGAGAGAAAGGTCTTGATACATCACCATTATTGCCAAGTAGACTTTGAAGAGGCTTGACAAAAGCTTTAGCATTTTGAGGAGCACAGTTTGAATTCTGGTCCGGTGCTTTTATTTTATGAGAAAACCAAAGGCTAAGTTTTTTTTAGGGTTAAGTAATTTACTCTTTGTCACTCTGCCGGGTAGAGTAGAGGTGGCACTCTGGGCTATTGAGGGCGAAAAAAAAGGGTAGCAGGGAAAAGGGGAAAAAAAGTGATGTGTTGCGTTGTTCTAGATGTCAAAGACCTGCTGGACTGTCAGACTGACAGGGGGTGCCCTGACATTTCCCGAGCCTGTTTCGTTGGGTGGTTTATTAAGTCAACATCTTTTTCTTTTTAAGCTGTTTTGGCGCCAACTGACTCTTAATGTCATAGTGTCATTAGACATGTCTGTTTCATTTGTCTTTTTTTGGTATAATGTCATTTAAATTCATAATTGTAGAGTTAGAAAGTTATTGTTAGTTTAAAAATAAAAGTTTATTATCACTTTATGAAAACTGAAAATATTTCTCTAAAGCTAAAATTTTATTTGGTAAGCCACTTAAATGAGGAATTGGAAGACTTGCTTCAGTCAGGAAATAGCTCACTTCTTTGACTTCACTAAGTCCTTGGCATTATATTTATATTAAAAACTTTGATTTTATGGATAAACAAACAGTCAAAATTGGTGATGAAATCTGCCGGTACTTTTGCACCAATATGGACTGTGTTTGGTTTGAGATTCTTGAACATTCTGAGTTCCTATGCACTTTCATTTCTAAGGTCACTCCTGGCCCAGTATTCTGCTCAATGCTCTATCTGCCTGTGTTCACCTCCTCTGAGTATTCTCATTCCTCTCCTCCAGATAGGTACCCTTCCCTCAATTTTCCCCTCTGTAAACCACTTTCCCAAAGTATTGGATTGGCCAAGAGTCTGTTTAGTTTTTTCTGTAAAATAAAAGACACCTTTTGTCATTTTCACCAATAACTATATTGATTTCGATATTTTGAGTATGTCCACTATCTCCCACTAGTGGGGAGAGGCCAGGGAGGCTGCTAAACGTCTTGCACTGCTTAAGACAGCCCCATGGCAGAGAATTATTTGGCCAAAATGTCCATAGTACCAAGACACTTCGCAAACCACTTTTGACACAATCCATCATTCATGGCACCTTCTCCATATACTATACAAAGCTCTTTTTGTGTTTCAGTTGTGGTTTTACCTTTCTTGAAATAATAAAGCATAATATGCTGAAAATGTTGTATACTTCCTTCCATCTTCAGTATTAAAATGGCTGCACAAAAATTCACCACTTTTGATTTTTTTTTTAAATGCCCACTGATATGACAGCTGTCACAATCTAACAAAATTGTTTCAAATGAAGTTAAAAGACAATTAATCACTACTAGAGCCATCACATGGAAAAAACTAAATGGACTTTTAGGCCGACCCAATATATGTATGTGTAGCACTCTTTACTGAAGGTGGCTTGGGTGAGGGATTAGAGAGGGGAGGACATAGGAGTGGAGACTGTTACATCACAGCATAGTGAATAACTTCAGAACTGAGTTATATATACTTTATATATAAAATGTCGTGCCAGTATAATATATTACTCTTGTTGTTGATATTTGATGATAATCAAATGAAAAGAGGGACTGTGCATAGCTGATCAGACTCTGCATTGAATTACACCATGTTCTCCCAGTTAAGTAGCAAAAGAATAAATATTTGATTCTTGTGGTAAATTTATGGTAGACAGTATAGGAACTTCTTTTTGAATCTCTTCTAAAATGAATTCCTTATATTGATAGATTTTAGCAAAGATAATCAAACTTTCCTAACAAAGAAGTACAGCAGAGCTTGGATAGTCAAGGTAAGCTAATAGCTGTTTCTTTGTTTCAGGTAACTGAGATTTCACACACACAGCAATAAATAAATGCATTGGGAAGTGTGTGCTTCTTTATATTTTACAAAGTGATCTTCCTTTCTCTTTTGTTTTAGGAAACAGATATTGAGGACAGATATGGAGATTTGGATTCCAGAACAGATTCTGATATTCCGGAAATTCCACCATCCTCAGATAGAACCCCTGAGATCCTCAAGAAAGCTCTATCTGGTTTGTCTTCAAGGTACAGTTCTATGAAGATGAATGGGGGCACAAGATAATGTGTGAGGTTACCCTGGGTCATGTAATAAATTTTATTGTTTCTAAGTTTTAGAGCTCTGAGAGAGAAGACTTATACTTTTTCATAGTATGTCAGGCACTAGATGCTTAATGTGTATCCTTTTATTTAATCTTTAAAGTTTTGTGAAGTATGAGAAAACCAAATCTGAGAGATTAACTGGGTGAAAGTTACAGAGCTAGTAAGAAGCAGACCTGGGATTCTTGTTCCCATGTGCCAGGGTTCTGAAGCCAGTGATCTATTCGCTACCTCAGGTTGCCTTTTCTGGCGTTGAAACACTCCGTATCCTCTGTTCCTGTTTTTTAAAATGCCAGAAATGTCATTCTTTTCTTTTTTAACTGAGTTAAATTATTGTCCAAAACTCCAGAACCCTTTACCATTTTATATTTGTCCTATATTTTAAAATGTGAAATCACCAACAAATTTCACATAGTTTTATATTGACCTCCATTGTATGCTTTAGTAATATGAACTATAACACTTATAGAAGCAATATAAATGTAAACTTTTATTTAGATTAATATGAAGTTTTTAATATTGGTATAGAACAGTTTTTCCATCTTTTTTGACAGTGCCATGCAGTCAGATAGACATTTTAACCACATCCCAAGAGATGCACAAATGTATATTTTATTGTTTTTAATTGTATTGATTATGCTATTACAGTTGTCCCAGTTTTTCCCCCTTTGCCCTCCTCCACCCAGTACTCCTCACTCCCTCAGACAATCCCCACACCATTGTTTGTGTCCATGGGTCATACATATAGTTCTTTAGCTGCTCCATCTCCAATACTGTACTTTACATCCCCATGGCTATTTTGTAACTACCTATTTGTACTTCGTAATCCCCTCACCTCCTCACACATTCCCACGCAGCTCCCTGCCATCTGGCAACCATCAAAACGCCCGCAGTGTCCGTGATTCTGTCTATGTTCTTCCTGTTTGCCTAGTTCGTTTTTTAGATTTAATTGTTGATAGATATGTATTCATTGCCATTTTATTGTTCATAGTTTTAATCTTCTTTTTAATTAGTCACTTTAACATTTCTTATAATAATGGTTTGGTGATGATGAACTCCTTTAGTTTTTTCTTATCTGGGAAGCTGTTTTTCTGCCCTTTTATTCTAAACGATAGCTTTACTGAGTAGAGCAATCTTGGCTGTAGGTGCCTGCTTTTAATGATTTTGAATATTTCTAGCCAGTCCCTTCTAGCCTGCAAAGTTTCTTTTGAGAAATCAGGTGACAGTCTTATGGGAACTCCCCTGTAGGCAACTAACTGCTTTTCTCTTGCTTTTAAGATCCTCTCTTTCTCTTTAACCTTTGGCCTTTTCGTTATGATGTGTCTTGGAGTGGGCCTCTTTGCGTCCATCTTATTTGAGATTCTCTGTGCTTCCTGGGCTGTGTATCTATTTTCTTCACCAAATTAGGGAAGTTTTCTTTCATTATTTTTTCAAATAGATTTCCAGTTTCTTGCTCTTTCTCCTCTCCTTCTGGCACCCCTATGATGTGAATCTTGGAACACTTGAAGTTGTCCCAGAGGCTGCTTACACTATCTTCTTTTTCTTTTTGGATTCTTTTTCTTTTCGTTGTTTTTATTGGCTATTTATTGCTTCCTTATGTTCCAAATCATTGATTTGATTTGCTGCTTCATCCACTCTACTGCTGGTTCCCTGTAAATTGTTCTTCATTTTTGATTCGTATATTCTTCGATTCTGACTGGATCTTTTTTTATGCTGCTGAGATCCTCACTAAGTTCCTTGAGCATACTTATAACCAGTGTTTTGAACTCTGTAAGTGATAGATTGCTTATTCCATTGTATTTAGTTCTTTAGCTGGAGCTTTGATCTGTTCTTTCATTTGGGCCATGTTTCTTTGTCTCCTCATTTTGGCAGCCTCCCTGTGTTTGTTTCTATATATTAGGTGGAGCTGCTATGATTCTGATTTGGTAATGTGGCCTAATGTAGTAGGTGTCCTGTAGGGTCCATTGGCACAGCCTCCCCTACTACCCAAGGTGGGTACTCAAGGTGCATCCTCTTTGTGGTCTGAGTACACCCTCCTCTTGTACTTGAGCCTTGATAGCTGTTGATAGGTCAATGGGAGAGATTTTCCCAGGCCAGTCAGCTACAAGGACTGGCTGTGACCACTGACCACCAACTTCCACTAACCATGGAGGATCAACTGTTGGGGGCAGGCTGGTATTCTGATGTGATCTGTAGCTGTCCGCTGGTGCATAGGCTGTGGGGTATCCCGGGTGGTACAGGCCAAGGTCAGCCCCAACTGTGTCTGCTCAGGGTTTCCCAGCATGAGCTATAAAACAATCTGCAGCTGGCTGCTACTTGTGCTGGGCTTGGAAGTTCCTAGTTGAATCCAATATGTGAGCCCAGGCTGGCTGATGCGAGTGTTGGTCCTGGGGCCACTTAGCAAGAGGTACAGGTGCTGAGTCTTCACTGAGACTGGCTATTGCTTGTTTGAGGGGATTTAGGAAGTTGTGAAGGAGGCACCATGTCCACCCATTCATATGGAAAAGCTACTGTTAACAGCTTCAGTGGGCACATAAGTTGGATGGGATGGAGCATCAGGGCATCTCCAGGGTGGGACAAATAGTGTTAGCCGGGTTGATGAAGTCTCAGATATGGCATCCACCTGCCAGCTCTGTGCCTCTGGGATGGGAGGGTTCAGAAAAGGCGCAATGGAGTCTGCCCACCTTTCTGTCTGGGAGACTTTCCCTAGCTCTCTCCTTCCTCCCCGCATGCCCTTGGTGTGTTTTAAAGCTGCTTCTCTGGTGTTGGAGCTCAGAGGGAGTGAGTCTGAGTAAGACTGTGTGTGGGTTCTTTACGAGGAACTGCTTGGGACTCTATAAGATTCTTCCACTGACTCAATCATTGCTGGTTTTTTGCAGCCAGAAAGTGTGGGGACTTATCTTCCTGGCACTGGAACCCTGGGCTGGGGGGCCTGGTGTGGGTCCTCACTTCCAAGATATCCCTCCCGAATTTTTATCCAGCACATGTGGATGTGGAACCAGCCTGTTCCATGTCTTTGCCCCTCCTACCAGTCTGGATGGATGTGGTTTCTTTAATTCCATAGTTGTTGGACTTCCACTCACCTCAAGGTTTTCATAGTTTTTTAACCAATAGAATATTTTGCTGTGCATTATTAAAGTATGATTATTATTTTAATAGTCTTGATCCCAGTTGTTTTCATGACCTAGTTGACAACTGTATCTTTGCTTTAAAATCTTAACAGGTCTATCAAAGATGTGAAAACTTCTTGTATTTATTTATATTAGAATGAGGATGGATTCCTGTTTCATTAATAGTAATTTCTTAATAATGAAGCCCTCCATCCCCCATATAAAGTAACAATAGCAAATAATAGCAACTGATATTTACTGAGCATTTACTCTGTGTTGTGCACTGCTCCAGGAACTGTACATATATAGACATTCTCACAGTAATTCTGTAACACAGATACAGTTATATACTTGTTTTATAAATGAGAAAAATGAGGCACAGAATATTTATATATCAAGGGTCATGTAGTTAGTAAGGAACAGAACCACATTCTGAACCTAGGCATTGTGCTCTATTTGTAAAAGAATTTGGTTTTATTTTTTAAAAGTTTTAAAAAGATTTTACTTATTTTTAGAGAGAGGGAAAGGGCAAAAAGAGAGGAAGAGAAACATTACCCGTGTGGCTGCTTCCTATGTGCCCTGTGCTGGGGACCTGGCCCACAACTCAGGCATGTGCTCTGACTGAGAATCGTCAATCCTTTGGTTCACAGGCCAGTGATTAATTCACTGAACCACACTAGTCAGGGCAAAGAATTCATTTTTGAAAATGAACAATAGATATGTGACTACTTTCAATCTTCTCGTGAAACTTCACTATAAAGATTACATGAATGTTTCAAAATGTGTATCTTACTCATTTAGGCTCTTTATTACCCCAAATAATTTGCCTTGCAATGACGTAGAAGTTGTAGACACATAAAATTAAAAGTACTAATTACATAAGAAATGTTCATGAATTGTAAGGGAAAAAACCTTATAATCCTTTCACCAAGATATTTATATTTAAAATCTTGTGGTGTTTACTCTGAAACTTTTTTCTTGTACATATTTTGTGCGTATGTGTGAGTGTGGTGTAAAAATAGCATTGTACCATTTCCTGCCTTTCTGTTTTCATTATCATTCTGTGATATTAGGAACAAATAACCTTAAATATATTTAAATACTTTTAATGGCTGCATGATACATTCCTTTGTATGACTGTAGTTCAATTTACTCAACTAAACAGCTATTTCTGGGCATTTAGCTAACTTCTAAATTCTCACAATCAAAAACAGCTTTACACTAAACATTTTTCTTTCTAGATAACTTATATTTAGTATCCATAATTATTTAAAATAGAATTTTAAAGGTAAAATTGCTTGTTGAAGACTTAAGCTCAATTTTGAGGCTTTAGTATATAATGTCAAAAAATCTTAAATTGTTGACATTGGAAGGGGCTCAAAAGGTCTACAGCCACTTTGCAGGTTGTCCCAATCTGTATCTTGACCTGTGTGCGTGAATATTCATTAGCCATTTAAACCTGGCTTTATCCTTTAGTGAAACTCTTTAACCACTAGCTTAGTTAAGAAGTTTTCATCCAGGGGCAGTTTTATCCTCACTTCCCTGGTAGACACTTGGCAATGTCTGGAGACCATTTTTGGTGGTCACAATGCGAGACATTGCTACTAGCATCTAGTAGGTAGCAGCCAGGGAAGATGCTAAATACTCTAGAGTACACAGAACAGCTCCTCACACCAAAGAACTATCTGGCACAAAATGATACTAGTTCTGAGGCTGAGACATCAAGGAAATATCCAGGTATATCCTCACTGGTGCTCTTACACTACATAAGCCATCTTCCTTCTTTCTGGGAACCTGCAGACTTCCTGTCCAGCTTCTCCAAGGCTGGTGGATAAACATTCTCAAATCTCCCTCTCTGCCAGAAGGCCCGCTGAGTGCTTGTTTATTTCTGAGAAGTGCCTCTGTGTCCCTGTTCTTGGCTCAGGTGAACTGCCTTGCGAACCCAGGTTCTTGATGCCTCATGATGCTTTTGGCACTAGTGTTTTTTAAATCTTACCGTTGTTTTTGAAATAAAAACTAATTAATAGTGGTAGTAGCAGTAAGTCATTGTACATATCCAGATTGATTTGAACAATCTGTATAGCCACTTTAGATAATCACTTGTAAGGATACTGCTTAATTACATTCTTTTTGAAAATGTCATTTCTGGCTCAGGTTGGTCTTGAGACATGAAACTGGAGTGAAATTCTCCTCTGTTAGTTCTGAGTTCCATTTTCTAGAAACAATCTGTGAAGCAATGACTTGGGCTCAAACTTAAGGCTTTCTCTAATGTGATCATGGAAGTATAGTACAGGAAATTGAGAATTTTGAATTGAGAATCAGACTGTCCTCTGGTTTTTAGTAAAAATTTATTTTATTTTGTTTTATTTTATTTTTATATCATGCTGTTAAATTCATTGCTTCTCTCCTGAAAGATGACTTTTGGTTACTGTATCAGTGGATACATATGTTTAAGTATATGCTTAACTTTGTATTAGATATACTTGGGGAATTTGGGGAGTCAGTTGAGTTAACATAAATAAGAGAAGTAAGTTTTTTATCTTATTGGGGGAGCGGAAATTTTCTCAGAGGAGAAACAGCCATATAAAAAACAACCAGACACAATATGTTCCTCTAAGGTCCCTGTTTTCAGTTATTATTAAATTTTGGGGTGATATGAAGAGAGTATGTTCCCTGTTTAAAAATCTCTGGTTTGCAGCAGCTGCCATTCTCTGAAGTTCAAAGTTAGGGATCTAAGAGAGACAGACACAGACATTAGCAAGGAAAATCTACCTAGAGGCTGATTTCTAACATGTAGTGTCCTCTTGACTAGAAGAGGTTCTCGATAACTGATTCTGAGGATCAGTTGTAAAGAAGGGCTCAAGACAAGTCTGGATATCATGTAAGCAGGTCAGGATTATTATCAGGGGACTGGCTTATGGTTTTTTATTTACCTTTGACCAGCCCTGTGATCTCGCCCAGTTTCCTAATCCATTCATTAGTCCATAGAGGGTTATATCTATAAAACTAAATGGAACCTCTCAGCTATAGAATTTTTGACTCTACACTCACTTAAGTTCAGCCCCAAAGCTTACAGTTGGTGAGAAATTTATAAGTCTACATAGTGTGTTAAACAGCAGAGGGAAATAAAGTTGCAAAACAGTTTGACCACCTCATGAAAAATCTTGGAAGCTAGATAAGAGTATTAGAGTTTAGACTTAATGTTGGCATTTTAGATCTTGAGTGCAGAAATGACATGATAAAAGGGATATTTAAAAAATATCTGGACTATATAGGGAAGTGATTGAAAGTAGGGAATGTAATCAGTATTTGATAAATAGATGAAATTAGCCAATATTTATTTCATGAGAATGAGAGTAAAAGCCTTGCTTAGATATTGTGCATATATGTTGTTATACTTAAAGTTGAATCTAGATCTTTTGTAACATAATTTAAATGCTATCATTAGAATTAATAAAAATCAGAAAAGTCTTTAAAAAGTTTATTGTGTGTGTAATGTAAAATATATGTAGAATGAATAAAAACAGAGGCAGCAATTTTAGATTCAGAAATCCTCATCCATATAGAGGCGTTATTAGAATCATTTAAAATGTTTCATACAGCAGCTGCTGATGACGTGTTTCATGGCATGGCCTCATAAAGAGTGACAGTATTTGTAAGGTGCACTGGGGATGAATTGAGAGGCTCTTGTGGTGGGGGGAAGCAGTTGGGCACCTGGGCCCAGCCCAGGGATTGAGGGAGATCCATTCTCAGCCGGCCAGGAACTACTTGGGTGTACCAGCAGGGTTATTCTGCTATAAGAAACAAGAGAAGATCCAAGGATAAGAAACTACTTTTCTACTAGCAGCCTTGTACCTAACCAAGGAAAGCAGGCAGCACACTGAGCAATAGAAGGAAGTGACTTTCAATCTGGCCTTGTCCTCTGCTGCTGACCTCTTTGTGCCTTCTTCACTTCACAGAAATCACTTTGCTCTCCAGTTTCAGTTCTGTATCAGCCTTTCTTTACTTTTTCTAATTGGAAGGCCATGCTCGCTCTCTGTGCCACCTTAAAATCATCTGCCAGCCCCCAGGATTGGCCATCTTTAGAGAGGGCCTTTGCTCTCTGCTCCTCCTTCCCTCCTGAATGCCCGTGGCGGGACACTGACCGCCTCACTGCCTAGCCTCATGAGTCATCTTCATGCACAATAAACAAAAGTCAGGGTTTTTTTCCCTCTGACTAACATAATTTTTACATATAATTTAGCTCTCAGTGAGTGAACATACCTTGTTTGGTTGGTTGGGTTTTGGTATCTTTTGTTATAAGGTGAAGTAAAGGTCTTAAAGTATAATTGGGGAAAATCCTTGGGTCTAGCAACTCAATTGTGAAACCACACACAAAAAATACTGTAAGAACACAGTAAGTGCTGACGTTATAAACATTTTCTTTGCAGGTGGAAAAACTGGTGGATTCGTGGCATTCTTACTCTAACTATGATTTCATTGTTTTTCCTGATCATCTATATGGGATCTTTTATGCTGATGCTTCTTGTAAGTGTTTTACATTTCCCTAAGTATCTCTTACTTTGTTTTTTAGCATTGATATTATTGAAGTAATTTGAGCATGTCATGAAAAAGAAGGTAATTTAAGACTTGGTAACAGCAAATTTAGTTCCTTTAAACATCTTCTAGTTCATAAAATGAACTGGGCTAATTTTGTCTGTTTGCAAAATGTCTATTGAAGGTGTTCATTCAGCAGAGATCAAGTTAATGTCTCTTTGTCAGACACTGTGCCAAGCATGAGATGTAACAGGAACACACACATACACAGCTTCAACATATGTGACTGTTAGCTAGGTCCCTAACTTCAAGGAACCCACTCAAATGGCAGAGGCATATAAATAGCCGTATAAAGAAATAGAGTAGTAAATAAATGGGTTAAGTCCTGTGATATAACTTGTTGGGAAAGCACAGCAAAAAGTACCTAAAACAGCCTGAGACAAAGATGAAGGAAGACCTTTCAGAAAAGGTGATGCCAAAGCTAAGTACTGAAGGAGAGATTGGGCAGGGGGTGGGCTTCCAAGGTGGGCCATCATGGGCAAGGCAGGGAGGGAATGAGAGCACGGGGTCTGTTCGGGGATTTGCACGTCGTACACGTGGATGGCCTCTAGGGATAAGACCAGAGAGGCGAGCAGAAGCTATTCTGGGAGTTGGGGATTTAGTCGTGTATGGGAAGCCCAACAGGTCATAAAGCCCAACAAGTATTTTAAGCTTTTAATTCATTCATTTTGCAAATGCCTCTAGGATGTCTGCTGTGTGCCAAGCATTATGCTACTTGTCAGGTATGATATGGTGGTGCAGAGAAAAGTGCAGCTGTCTGTACCATCATGGAGCTTATATCTACGTTTTAAAGCATTGATCAGATGTAAAATTACAAACTGCAATGAGCATTTAATTAAAAGAAAAAAAGGATATCAGAGCAAAGGGTGAGCTGGGAGACGTTTCAGAGACATGTGCCCAGCATATGTGCTGTGGCCTGAAGGCTGAGGAGGAGACAGTGTGGTGACAGAGGGAGCTGGGGGTAGGAGGGTCACAGCCGAGTACTCCTGTGTATAAAAGCCGTCATATGTACTAGCAGCATGAAGCATTTGAAGCCCAAAGTGGTGGGAGTGAGAAGGAGAAATGCATGTTTAGTAGATTCATTACCAGGTTCCGAGTGTCTTTAGCAGTGAACAGGAAGAGCCTGTTCTCAGGAACATGCACAGGGAACCCTTTTTTTTTCTTTTTTTTCTTTTTTGGCAAAATAGGATTCAGTTTATTATCTTGGCCATCTGTTAAGCATGACTGTATACTGAGTTCCTTGCTAGCCCTGAGACAGACACTGGATGAAGACACAATAGGGTTTACCTTGAAAGCTAACAGGCCTGAGGAAGGCTCCAGTACACCTCACCAAGAACTCTGTGGATTCGGAGGCCAGGCATGGGGGGGTCCAGTCCTGTCTCCTCAGTTCAATTGTTGGCTTATTTTGATGTTATTTAATCCCTCTGAGCCTCAGTTTCCCCACCTGAAAAATGAGGCTAAAATAAGATTACCTTATTCGTGGGGTATTGTGAGAATTTAATAATAATAATAAAAATTGCAATGCTAGAATTTTGAGCCTTGAAAGTTCTAGCCTTTTGTGTCAGGCACAAAGTAGATGCTTAATAAATATTTGTTGAATTAATTGAGCAGATACCATGTGCTAGATGCTGAGGAAAATTTTTTAAAATTTTTAAATCATGTTTATTCTATTACAGTTGTCTCAATTTTCCCCCCTTTGCCCTCCTACACCCATCTCCCCCTGCCCCCTGCTCCCACAGTCAGTTCCCACTCTGTTGTCCGTGTCCATGGGTCATTCACACATGTTCTTTGTTTAGTCCCCTCTCCTCCTTTCCACCATTGTCCTCCTTCCCAATCCCTTCTGTCACTTTCAGTCTGCTCCATGTTTCTATTCCTGTGGTTTATTTTGTTCATTAGTTTATTTTGTTGACTAGAGCCCATTTATAGGTGAGATCATATGGTATTTCTCTTTCACCGACTGTCTTATTTCACTTAGCATAATATTCTCCATTTCCATCCATGTTGCCACAAAAGGTAGGATTTCCTTCTTTCTTTTTTTTAAAATGCAGATTGATTTTATTTATTTTTTTAATGTCAAGATCTATTATAAAATATTAAAAATTTAAATCCATTATAAAGTCTCAGCACTTAAAATATGACACCAGCACAGAAATAATCAAGTAGATCAAAGAAATAAAGTGAGCATTCTAGAAACAAACATATATATCTGTCTAACAATGTAAAATATAATTAAATTAATATTTCAAATCAACGGGTAATATAAGGCTTATTCAACAAATAAGGTGCATGGACCACTATTATTTGAAACAAAACCAGTATAGAGCCCTATTTCACACATTATACAAAAAATATTCAGGTGAGTTAAAAATCAATATGTAAAATCTAAGGAGTTTTAGAAGAAAATACAAAATAATATTTTTCTTACACTGATGTAAAATATTCGAACCCAGAAGCTATAAAGTAAGATATTGACAAGATGACTATATTAAACATTTAAGGAGATTATATGTGTGTGTGTGTGTGTGTGTGTGTAGTTAAAGGACAAGTAACAGAATAAAAAAGTATTTGAAAAACATTTGAAAAAGGATTAATAGTTTGTGGTGTTGGGGGGGTGGAATTCTACAGCCATTTAATCAAAAAAATGGATAAAGAATACCAAAAAGTCATTTAAATCTTTTTAAAAATAATAGAAATAGGCAAGAAATATACAAAAACAGGTTTTGTTTCAGCAAATAATCGAGTAACAAAATAACACATCATTGTCACAATCAGATTAATAAGTATTAAAAATATTGGTAATACCAAGTATTGGCAACTGTGAAAGGAACTGGGTATTCATAGACTCTTTTCTTCATCTTAAAGCAGTCCCTTTAGCATATTTTGCAGTGCTGGTTTGGTGAAAGTGTATTCCCTTAGCCTTTTGTCTGGGAAACTCCTTATTTCGGCTTCCATTTTAATTGAGAGCCTTGCTGGGTAGAGCAGTCTTGGTTGTAGGCCTTTGCTTTTCATGACTTGGACTATTTCTTGCCATTCCCTTCTGGCTTGTAGTGTTTCTGTTGAGAGCTCAGCTGCTGGCTGTACTGGGGCTCCCTTATATGTTACTACTTCTTTCTCCCTTGTTGCCTTTAGGATTCTCTTTTGTCTTTGATATTTGCCATTTTAATGATGATGTGTCTTGGAGGGGGCCTCATTGGGTTCCTCTTGAGTGGGACCTTCTGTGCTTCCTGGACTTGCATGACTTTTTTCTCTCCTCAAATTAGGGCAGTTTTCTATCATTTTTTCAAAGAGGTTCTCTAACTCTTCCTCCTTTTCTTCTTCTGGTATCCCTATTATACGGATATGATTACATTTCAGGTTGTCCTGCATTTCCCTAAATGCCTCTTCATTCTAGTTGAGTCTTTTTTCATTTTCTTGCTCTTTTCTGGGAGCTTTTTTTCTACCTTGTCTTCCAGCTCAGTGATTTGATCCTCGGCTTCATCTAGCCTGCTTTGGATTCCTTCTACTGTGTTCTTCAATTCAGAAATTGTATTCTTCATTTCCTATTGCCTCTTATTGATAATTTCTGTGTCCTTTTACAGCTGATATAGTTTGCAGTAAGTTCCTTGTAGTTTCCCTGTAGTGTTTGGTACTTCTCTCTGAGCTCACTGAGCTCTTTGAGCTTCCTTAGATCCGTTGTTCTGAACTCAGTATCTGATAGTTTACTTGCCTCTATTCTGTTTAGTTCTCTTTGTGGGGATTCCTCCTTTCCCTTCAAGTAGGGGATGTTTCTCTTTCTTGCCATTATTTGTGAGACTCTTCTTTTTTGCTTCTGCTTCTTAAATTGATGTGTCTTGATTTCCTGGCTTTGTAGTATGAACTTCTGTGGTAGGAGACTGCTGTTTTTTTCCTTTCTTGATCTACCTCTGATGATGTCAGATGTTGACCCTGTCTGACCTTAGGCAGTCTGTTTGAGACTTCCAGGAATTACTGTCTGTGGCTGTCTCCTTCAGCTGTTAATCTAGTCACTCTGCACTCTGCACTCAGGCTTAGGCACCACACAGTGGGACAAAGTTGCTCCTGAACGTGGTTTATTGTGTCCTCTCATGCTGCTTCCGCCCAGGGGAGTGGTCTGCCTGAGCCAGATAGCTGCTTCCATATGGGGGAGGAGTCAGTACTAGGATTCTGCCGGCTACTCTCTCTTCTCTCTTTAAAGCCTCTGTCTTCAGCCTCTCCTCAAGTGTCTCTAGTCACTCTGTACCCGCTTTACCCAGGGATCTATTATCTGTGGCTGCCACTCTGTACTCAGCAGTCAGGCTTTAGCACTACGGGACCAGGGATGAGTCCCTCCTGGGGCCGCGGCTATTGTGTCTTCTCTGTTGCCAATCAGGGGAGTGGTCTGCCTGAGCTAAATGGCTGCTGATGCATGGACAATGAATCAGCACCAGAATCCCACCATCTACTCTCTCAGTTCTCTCCCCTAAAGCCCTCTTCCCCAGTCTCTCCTGACGTGTCTCTAGCCCACTCTGCCCCTGCATTTGCCAGATACCAGGGTAAATGGCTGCAAATAAAAATTTATGTGTTGGCCCTTTAAACAGCTCTTTTCCTCTCCAGCTGCCTCTCTCTGGCAGAGAGCAACCCTGCTGCTTTTCGCAGCTGGCTGTTATCTGTATGACAGTATGGGCTCTGGTGCTGTGGGTTGGAGATTCCCACTTACGGTTTGGACCCTGCTCTTCTCAGGGGGATCTAAATGGCCATTTCAATATCCTTCTGTTGCTGCCACCCATGGGCACCCTGTTCGCCTTCTCGAGTCTCTGCCACACTCCTTACCTGTAAGGTTGTGCTAAAGCTGATTCTTCTGTCTGTCCGAGGTTATAAGGCTCCTCTCTCACTATTGCTCAGTTCTTTGCTCTAGGTGATTTCTCCACAATTTAGTTGTAATTCCAGGTTGGTCCTGGGAGGAAGTCAGTGTGACTTCCACTCACTCCTCTACCGTCGTGATTCTCCTCTCTTCATTATTTCTTTTTCTTCATCCCATCTCCATTAGTTTAGCCTCCTCTTATGTACCTTTCTCCCTATTTCCTGGCTGCTCCTGCCCACTTAGAAGCCTGTTCACCTATTTCACCTCCTTCCCCCTCCATATTCAGTCCTATAAAGAGTACTAAGCTATGGGCAGTATGATATGGTTTTCCTTTTATTCTATGAAAGATTATGTTTTGAACTGAAAATAGACACAACTGGAAAAAAATTTCAGTCCACCTCTGAAACCACTTAAAGTAGCTCTTCTAAGCATCACAAAGTCCTTTCACTTTCCTTTTTGTCCTCTTATTAATTTCGTACTTCCTTAGGGATAGCCAGCTCACAAAAATGAGAAATTTCTTTGTGTCCTATTAATTTGATGACATCTTGAAGAGATTTTTTTAACAAAGAAAAATGAATAATGGATAGGACTGAGTTAACATGAGGGCAGAAGATGCCGAGTCTGAAAGCCACGTAGGCAGGGTGAGCATGCACAGGTGTTACTGGAGAGAACCCCAGCTCCCAGTCTTCTCAGTCCGAACCTGCTGAGGGCTGTGCCAAGTGGCCACCGCTGACCTCGAGACATGAGCATTTAAAGAGTGAGTGGGTACAAAACACGTTTCAGTGCTGTGTGATTGAGTGGTGGAGCCTGGGGAAAAAGGGATCGGATAATGGCAGGCAGCTCATAAAGGCTTTGTGTATGAAGGGACCTTTGAATGCACCTTGAGGCTCTGTCAGGGTGGAGTGAGTGTGTGCTGTGAACAAAGGTCCTAACAGTGAGGTGGGTCAGGAAAAGTCAGCCGATGCCCTTCCTAGAGCATAGGGCCTTTGAACCTGAAAGAATAATTAGGTATCAGATTCTGGAGGACCTTGCAATACTGTGTGAAGAAGCTTGGGATTTAACTGTATAGCATTGAGGAGCCATTGAAAATATTGTGGATTATTTGAATTTTGATCCTCCTTTAGAAGATAATTTTAATCAAGACGCTGCAAAACACCCACATCCTTGATGTACTGACTCAGACAGATTTAGTGGGCTCCCTGTGAATGAGTGACATGGTCTCCCAACTAAATGGTCTGGTGTGGTAACTAGAGCCAGACTTTGTAAACAGAGACTAATTTTTAACTATTTTTTGTGACAAAATTCATAATGCCTTTGAAGACATCCCTTCATGTTTGAATTCTGATTTTTAAAAAGAGAATCATAAGCATACCTAAAGCACTTTGGCTTTTTTTTCATTATTTTCTACTATGAAAGGACAATACTGTTTCATTACAAGTTATTTCTTTGAGCTTAATCAGGGAAGAATGTAAGAATATTAAAGATCTAGTTAAAGAAGATTTGGACTGTTATTGCTCTTATTTAGGTATATTACATATGCCTGCACACACCTGTCTTCACACGGGCATAGCTGCATGCATGCATTTGCTGCATTTATTATATTTATGTTAAGGGAGTATGGATGGATATACACACAGACACACATGTTGTGGGTACTCAGTTGATACTACCTTTATGTGCTTTAAAGTCTTATTTACATTCATAGCCCTAAGTAGGTCATTTATATTTTGAGTCATATACATTTTATCTAGCTTGCATTTGCCTAATAACATGAGCACTTAAAAATGAATAATTGAAGATAATTTTATTAAAAACTTGCTTCTAGGAAATGATAACTCCTATTTTAAGATGGAAGTCATACTCATGTTCCTTAAAGTGAGTTACTTACCTTCAGAATTCTATTTATAGCACTTTAATTGTTGCATTCACTACTTGGAATCACACTTTCTAAATGCTGGAGTTATTAAAGCATATTTTGATTTAAAACAGTTGTGCGAATACAGAATATGTTGTAGGAGTCCCTCCCCCACACCTTTTTGGAAACTCCTATAATAATCTACATTATATATATTTTTAATAGTGTATTTAAATTCTTCCCTATTGTAAGAGTATAAAAGTATATTACACTTACTTTGGAAAGTACATAATTTTAAAAAATCACCCCAACCAATCATTAACCACCAAAACCCAATTAATACTGCCATTTGATATGCCTCCTTTAATCCTTTTTTCTTTGTTTTAAAAACCATGGTTGTAGTCATAATATGACTAAAATGTTGTATCCTGCTTTGTAAACTATGTATCTTATCAAATGTTGTGTTACTCTACTGTTTTTACAACCATCAGCTTTAGTACATTAATCTACTCAATGGAATGAAGTGCCTCAAAAGTTATTTAAACCATTGTGTTATTTTTAGACATTCAGGTTATGTTTTGGTGTTTCTTTATTGTGACTAACACTATCCTAAACATCTAGAATTGAAAGCTTTTTCATATGCGGAATAATTTTCTTTGAATAGATTCCCAAAGAGAAAATAGGCGCTTCTATCTGGATAACCTGTAGTTACCATAGGTCAGACTCAACATATGCAGACCTGAACTTCTGTTCCAACCCCAACCATTCTGCATAAATCTGTTTCCCAAGACTTTCCTAGTGTTATCTATGTTCCTCTCTCTTTTAGGCCCCCAGTTCCCTCAACCACCAAATCCTGTCGGTTCTACCTCCTCAATGTCTCTTATTCCTGTACTCCACCCCACTGCCACTGTTCCACTTAGATGTTCATCCACATTCATCCGGACGCTGGTGTCTTGCCTGCCTTACTGCCTCTTCAGTCAATTCTTTCCACTTCTGTGATCCCCAGACACTCACGTCCGATCATATCCTTTGACAATCAGTACAAACCCTTTTGTGCAGTCTCTTGTGCTGTTGCCTGTGATTCTGTGACCAGGTTGTCTCTCTCATTCTTACCCCACCCGAGTGTTCCAGCAACTCTGAGCGCAGGCCTCGTCCTCTCCTACATACAGAACTCTGTATCCTCCTCCTTTGCCCCAACTGTGGCTTCTCCCCACCCACTTCCACGGTTTTTTTTGTTTGTGCTTATTTATACCCATGTGTCTATTTCCACACGGTATTATTGTATACTGTGTGTATCGTCTCTGACAGACAATGCCTCTCTGAGAACAGATATCTTATATTCTCTGAATCGTAAGTAACTAGCAGAATAGGCACCTACATAATGGTGGTTGTTTTTAAGGCTCGTAACACATTAAAGGGACCAACAGGATCCCACCCAGTCTGCACTGCTACCAATATGGATGGCATGGAGTATCAGTTTCTATGCCTTCACCCAGCCCTGGAAGATGTACATATATTTTAAGGATTTTAACTGTAGTGTTTGAGTCCTGTTTTCTATTTTTCTAGCTGTTCCATAATAATTCTGCTTGTAAGCTCTAATTGACAATCATTTAAATATATGTATGTGCTATTAAAAATACTTTCTTTCCCTCTTAGTAAAATACTATATTTAGAGCTAATGGCTCTTGAGCAAATGTATTCATAGAAATTGCATCAGTGCATTTGATATTTTAATAGCCCTTGGTTCTGTAAATAGTATGGCTTTGCTATTTTATCTTAACATCTAGCATCTTCCCCATTCTGTGATTATTATTTATTTAAAAATGATTTTGGTGTTTGTACAAAGTTTATTTGAAGGACAGTATTTAAATTTCCTCTTGTCTTTATGAGACATTTATGGCTTTTTCCTAAAACTATTTATAGTAGTTTAGTATAATAATTTCTTATCATGTGGCTGATGGAACACAGCTACTTTTCTATGTATGCGATTGAATATGTAGTAGGTATAGTGGGGGAAAATAGCTTAAGAATATTCTGAGCAGTAGTTTTGGGAAAGCTAAGTTGTGTGGAGATCATATAAGAAATCCCAGAGTATGTCCTTTGGCAGAGTTCGGTAGCTTGTTCTGTAAAGGACTAGATAGTAATATTTTAGGCTTTAGGAAGCTACATACGTCTCTGTCACATAATCTTTGATTTTTGGCATTTTGTTTGTTTGCTTGTTTTTTACTCTTTAAAAATATAAAATCCATTCTTAGCTCCAGGGCTATTCAAAAAGCCCTTTGGCATAGTCTTAGAGATTGAAAACGTTAGTCTGCTATATTCATAAAGATTTTAATATCTTAGTTTCTGGGAAAAAGTGTTCCACTTGCCATTTACTCTGAGTCTTGGAATTGACTTAAGCCAAAGACTGTGTATGCTGCTGCATCCTCAGGATCTGCCTTTACCCATACTGGTGGATGCAGTAGTTTGAAGGACTACTAAATAGACCATCAAAAAGGGGGCTCAAAACTATAAACTGATTTACTTGGTAGGTATATAAAACACTGTGCAAACAGAACTGCATAGACTTCGTTGATTGACCAAAGTGGCTGCAGATATACAAAGCTGCTCATAATTTGCCAAGGCAGCAAAGCTTGGATTGATCAGAGATGTATGTGGCTGGATATGGGAGAGTCAGCACAGCTGGAAGAATGAAAAGACCATGTCTAAACCCTTGGATAACTGGGCAAATGTGCCTTAGCCATTTTTTCTGACAGTACCTTCATCCTTGGCAAATATTCCAGGGCGTATGGTTCAAAATAAATTTAATCAAGCACTGTCACATATGATTACTTTCCTAGGATAACTCAAAAAACAAAATGGACAAAGAGATGGTCCATCTTGAGCTAGATGACCTTAAGAAACAAAGTTGTAATGAGTGAAAAAGCCTAGTTGCCTGTGACCAACCAGACGATATCCCTCAACCTTGAAACCACCTTGCCATGTCTTGCCCCAGGAAAGATCTCTCAATAAGACTTGTTTTGCTTACCCCATGGGGCATCACTTGAGTTTAGGGAGGTGGACTATTGAATTTTTGCTACTGACATTTAGAATAATTAAAAATGGATAGGCTAAAATACATACAACAACAAGCTACTTACTGAACGATTAAGCACAAATGTAAGCATTGAGGAATTGTATGTCAGTGCTTTCTCTTGTCTTCAGGTTCTGGGCATCCAAGTGAAATGCTTCCATGAAATTATCACTATCGGTTACAGAGTCTATCATTCTTATGACCTACCGTGGTTTAGAACACTAAGCTGGTAAGTAACTTAAAACTTTCAGATATGAAATCTGACTCTGCCAAAGTTTGTAAGGGAGGCATTCTGATCAGACAGTGTTCATGTAGTTGATCTTATAGATTGATTTTGGAGAAAGATAAATAAAAAAATGCAACTGAAAATAAGAAAATCACCTTCAACTGTCCCATTCCAACACAACTATTTTTGTATCTCATCTTTCACTTTTTATAGAGATAGCTAATTTATATTGCATATATACACCATTTTTGTCCTGTTAAATCCCCTCTATATCGGACACATTTTATATCCTTCGTTATCACAATTTTAGCAAAAATTTAATTTTGTAAAATGTTACAAATGTATACTGTTTTTTTTCCCCCTCCCTCAGTTGACATGAGACCACACACAAAATTAGATAGCTCTAAAAAGAAAGATGAGATATAAACGTTTTTTTTAATTTTATCTTCATTCTAAGACATACTTATTGATTTTAGAGAGGGGGCAAGGGAGGGATACAGAGAGAGGGAGAGAAACACTGATGTGAGAGAGAAACATCCATTGGTTGCCCCTTGCACGCCCCCAGCTGGAACCCACATGCCTGTCCTGACTGGGAATCAAACTGGCAACCCTTGTTTCTAGGATGACACCCAAGCAACTGAGCCACATTGGCCAAGGCAGTGTTTGGGGTTTTTTTTTTTTTGAGTGATCAATGGTTCATTCAGGAGGAGGAAGTCCAGCCTGAATGTTTGTCTCCCATCTCCACCCCTGCAAGCTGGCCCACCCTCTCCCATAGCCCCCATAGGCCCAGGGTCGGGGAGGGGAGCCATGGAAGGATGGGTCATCCCACTTTCGTTGCTCCGGTTTGGTCTCCTCTCCAGGCCCTCGGCCCCATGACATGTAACAGGAAGGGTACGTAGGGGATGAGGAAGACTGAGCGGGGCGGTGTATAAGGCACCCTTGCAGATAGTGCCGGCGAAGTTACCAGCCCATGAAATACCTTATGTGCACAAGTGCATGTAAAAATTAGTAAAATAAAATATCTAATTGTTTTAATATTTAAAGTTTTATGTCTTTTAAAAGCTTTGCAGGGGCAATCCTTAGTTATCAAGACCTTGACCAAGAAAAATAACATGATAATTCATGATTAACCTAGTTGGCCATGCCTTGAATATAGTTCCTTGATTAGTATCAGCCAGAGGGGCCAGTGTTTTATTAAAATAAATGTATCATCTTGGGGCTCAGAATAGTCAAAAATAGTTTCTTGATTTTTGGTAATAGCTGATTTTTCTTCATGAGTGGCAAAGTGTATGGGAAATATTAGGTAGGTTAAGTAGTTGGAGAATAATTAAATGTGAAACCGTTCTGGACTGACTTTAAATGTAGAAAAAAAGGGGAGGTCAGGATATGCTCCAGTGATTGGAGAAGGCTTCATGTAGAAGACGGAGAAATTGTTGTCACTTGAAGTGAAAACAAGCTTTTGATAGGGGAGTGTTCGTGTTGGGGAAGCAGCACTCATCGTGCTCTAGGCGTGGGACTGAGGAGGCATGCGCCACACATGACGAGACATTCCTGGCCCTCCTGAGCAGAAAGTGTTCACTGGGGAATAGTGGGCAAAAGTTGTATTGGTAGGCTTGAGTAGGCTTTGATAGCCTTACAGAGGAGTCAAAGACAGTTTTCAAGGCAGGAGAATAGAAAAACGGTAGCACAGCTGATTCAGATAAAAATACTTACCCTTTACTTTGAGAACAGTGCGATCTAATTCCCTCTGTGAGATCCATAGGGAAGCCATCCCTTTCCTTTCCTGCTCTCCTGGCTACCTGGGACTCTGCCCTTCAAAAGATACACACCTAGGAGCTTGAAGGCAGTGTTTCTCAGCCTTTTTTCCAGGCTCACACAAGCTCATATCAGCAAAATCTCATGGGTTAAACCTTTCCCTGGGGGAAAAGATATGCCAGAACTTGGAAGAGGGAGTCCATCTGGAGCACTGAGGAGAGAAGAAAGATGCCAATATGTGCAGGGCAGGTGGGAATTTACTTAGGATCTCGACTATGAAAAAGCATTAAAGCAGTGAATAATTGGTGGGGGGAGGGAGAGAATTTTCTATATTTTTTCCTAATTATCTGTCTCTGGTCTTAGATTTTGAGCTAAAAAAAATGTATGAACTATATTCAGTAAACTTTTGTTGACAGATAATTTTGAAATTAAGTTTAAAACAGACTAAAAGGATTTTGGTGGAATATATTCTGAACCAGTCTTCTGAGTGTGGCTTTGATCTTTGTATCATCACCAAAATGTATAGTTTTACGGCATTTGAGGGGGGTAAAAGCTTCAAATATAAAAAACTTAATTGTTTTTAAATTACAGGTACTTTCTACTCTGTGTAAACTACTTTTTCTATGGAGAGACTGTAGCTGATTATTTTGCTACATTTGTTCAAAGAGAAGAGCAACTTCAGTTCCTCATTCGCTACCATAGATTTATATCATTTGCCCTCTATCTGGCAGGTACGTTTCTATTGATATGTAGCTAATATATTTTATGTGTTTATTTTTATTTATTAAATTCATAATATCCTATATTTGTTACATTTTAATCCAGCTTTTTAAAATTTTCCCATGTAAGAAGCTTTTTCATTAGGGTCTTAAATAGCAATTGCTCCGTAATGGTGGTTTGAAAAAGTACTTGTTTAATAGTCATTCCATGTATTTGAAAATTTCCTTAGCAAAGTGTAGTAAAGAAACTTTTATAAATATAACCAAGTATAATTTACAAAAAAACTTTCACATTTATATTGCTTTATTTGTTCCTAGGTAATCGAGTTTTCATATAGAATTAATCAGGGTACTTAGTTTTCCTGATATTATTTATTATATATTCACAATGTGTATATTTATATATAAATATTTATCTGTTTATAGAATGCTATACCACATTTTTTTATGATTTTTAGATTAAGAATCAGATACTTAGGATAAAGTTAGAATCATAGATTTAAAAGTTTCCCACTCATGTAAAAATTTCTAAGAAATTGATTTAGATATGCCCTTTTTAAAAGTTGGATTTACATCATTAAACAGGTGCCTAAAATATCACTTTCTATATAGCATCTGTAATTAAATTTTCATTCTTTTATGTTTTTCTAGAACTTAATGACTGCTTCACCTTTTCTCCACATTTGTAAATTTTTGTGTAGCATTCCTTAATTTTTTCATTTAGTCTGTCTCGTGTTTATTGGTAGCTTTTTCAAATTTGCACATAAATCTATCAGTTTTCTCTTTTTCCTTGACACATCTGTTCTAGAGACTTCTCTGGTCCTGTTCTTATTTGAACTGGCTGCTTGCAGGCGTATTGCTTACTTGCCCTCATGATTTGGCCTCCTCATTTCTTCTGTTCTGTTCCTTCCAGCTTCTGGGTTTACACCCTCATTTTGTAACCATGGCCTCCAGTAGTTTCCTATGAAATGTGACTGGAAGCTAAATATAAAAATATATTTAGTCTTCTCACAATTGACTGCTTTGGTTAGGGCTCCACTTACTATTAGTAGACTTTTTTCTTTAGATTTTATTTTTATTTTTAGAAAGTGGGGGAGAAACATCAATGTGCCAGAGATACACCAATCAGTTGCCCCTCACATGCTGCCAACTGGCAACCTGGCCTGTGACCCAGGCATGTGCGCTGATCAGAAATTGAACCAGCAACCTTTGGGTTCACAGGCTAGTGCTTAACCCACTAAGCCACATCAGCCAGGGCTATTAGTAGATTTTTACTTAATACTCTAGTTTAGAAGCCCAGGCCTCACCCTTGCCTTCCACTGGACCTTTTCTGCTCAGTTTTCTCTAGAAAATACTACTAGCTGTCCCTGATTTCTTAGGTCTGCTTTAAGTTACCCAGTCTATTTTCCAGCTTCCAAATTCTGCAGCTATTTCCCCTCTGTTTTCCTTGTTTTCTTTAGCTCTCTTTGCTCTGTGGGATTTTGCCTTAAATTTTTTTAACATTATTTTAGGGGGCTACCAGGACAGGACAGGACAGAAATAAATGCATGAGGTCAAGCTGCCATTTTAAGACAGAAATCCTAACTGGTTTTATATTTTTTTCCCTTGGCTTTAAACAACAATTTACGATTTTCTGTGATGGTCCTGGGTGTTGACTGGGCTTCAGTTGGCAGTTCTGACTGAAGGCCTTTCCTGTAGCGGCAGTCATTTCTGTCTTGAGTGGATGGCTTGCGCTCAGGGCCACAGTCAGTGCTGACTGTTGACTTGAGCACCTACACTTGGCCTCTCCGTGGGGCTTGGATGTCTCCAAGCACATGAATGGGTTCTGAACAGGGAATGAGTGTGACAAAAGCCAAGTGCTTCAAGAGTCCTTATAGAGGGTTATTTTTTTTTATTACTGGTTTTCAAAAATGAAAGCATGATACATGCTCCTAGTAAAAATTCAGATTAAAAGGAAATGTTCAGTGAAATTTCCCTCCTACCTCAGAGTCTTATTTCCTATCTGTAGGGGCTCACTACAACTATTATAGAAATTTTTTGATTGTTCAAGCTTATGTGTTTATATCTTCCATTCCTCTTCTTTTTTTTTTTATTTTTAATACAAATGAGAGTTGACTGTTCTGTACCTGCTTTTTTCCATTTGATGTAGCTTTCGGATGGTTTTATATTGACACATCTAAATCTGTCTCATTTCTTCCATACCTAGAGTTACATCTATGTTAATATACATAAAGCAACCTCTGCTGGGTAGAATGCCAGAAAATAATGTGACTGCTGTTGCCTTGGCTTCCTTTCCCTTTGTGGTTTGCTGTAACTTAGGCTTGAGAATAACTTCTCCATTGGGTAATATAGAAGATGTACTTTGTTTTCTTTACTGTTTCTTTTTATACATTTTATTCATTACAGCCTCCCAAACAGCCTTTTTAGTAACTTTGTTCCATATACTACTTTCCAACTCTACTTTTATAAAATAAAGCCAATGTTTCTTCTTCCTTTTATTTCTCACTGACTTCTGTCAGAGAAATAGCTTACCACTTGCAGTTTAGGCTGGTCGACTCACAGAAGCACATTGAAAGTCATTAGTGCCATTCTTCCAACAAACATTGGAATGCTTTCCAAATGTCAGGTACTGTGGATGGTGTTGAGGAGACAAAGGGAAATATCGCTGATAGTGCCTTCCAGAGTTTTAAACCAGGTGAGAGGTGAGTCCCCTAGTGCCTTGCCAGAGCACGGACAAGGACCTCTAAGAGTAGGCGGCAGGGAGGGTGGGCCTTGCTCTGCTGGGCAGTGGGAAGGCCATTGAGAAGAGAAGACAGGAGTCGTGGAAAGTAAAGAACAAGCAAGCATTTGCCAGGTGGGTAATGGGGAGGGCATTCCAGGCAGAGGAAACAGCCATGCAGGGTTTAGAAATGAGAGAGAAATGCATATCCTGGGATGGGGGCAGGCATCAAAGGATGGGAGGGTAGGCAGGAGCCACATCATGAGGAGCTTTGTATATAGGATTTTGAATCCCTTGGGATTTTAATCTAAGAGATGATATAACCAAATGTTTAATTAAATGAAGGATGCGTTGGGAGACATTAATAGGGTGACTAGATAGGATACTGCTGCTGTAATCTTACTAAGTAGAATGAGAACCTGAGCCATTTAGGTTTGTATTTAATACTAAGAGGGTTATAAATTAAATAAAAAGTACCATGGGCTGATCTTAGAAACTAACTGCTGTGTGTGGCAGTCCATGAAAAATTACTTTTGTATCCAATTTATAAGCCCAAAATGTATTCTTTGTTGAGATAATTGTGTCTTTTCCTGTAGACATAAGAAATAGTAGAGATACCCCTTATACACTTGGCCCAGTTTCCACGAATGTAGTAATTTGCAAAACTACAGTATAATATCATACCTTGATATTGATGTTATTACAGTCCTACAAATGTACTTTTAAAATGCAACCCTGTGGTAAGCTAGGAGCTACTGGGTTAAATGACAAAACGTCCCATATAAATCACCAGTATTATTCTGTACCTACTATTATATGTGTGGCCTAAATATGGTCCTGTTAGAACATAAGCACCAGTTTGTGTGTCTCTTGTTTTTCTAACTCCCAGTGCCTTGCACAAAGTCTGGAGTTTAGATTCCCAATATAGATTTATTGGATGAAAGATCAAGAGGCTGAGAATGTGCACATCCACACACAGTGTTTCTTAGAGGTATTTTCTCAGCATCAGTTTTGTTTGCTGAGTTTTGAGGCCTTACTGGTGATGGTTGAAATGGGTAGCAACATTTGTGAGCTTACTCTAGCAAATGGAGTTAGACTTTAAGACAGGAGTGAGAAAATAGAAAGTGTGCTACAGGTATGTTGAAAATTTTGTACCTTTCTCTCAAATTTTGCTGTGAAAACTTTTTTGTTGAGTAATATTCCCAGGATCCTCTGAAAATTTTAGTTCTGACTTTGGAAAATAGAGATCTTAGCACATTTAAAAAGTAGAGACAGACCAAGCTATTTCATTGACATTGAATTTTATTAAAATGAAATGTAGGTATCTCAGGTCTGACCCCCTCACCATGGCTCAAGAGATTAAATGATGCTTTTAAAATCCAGGAAGTCATTCTTACATTTACATAATTTTGTTGTAAAATGAATTTAACCGATAGCAAAGAGAAAATCAATGAGACTTAAAGTAATAAGACAGACATTTTTCTAGTCTTGATATTTTTTTTTTAAGGTCTTGGTGATTTGGATTCAAGGCTAGAAACCAGAGCAGCCATGTGATCACGTGTCTAGTAATGATGGGTGAATAAGCTTAAGCTGTTTGACCCCTAACATAATTACCTTACCATCTCTTTAGCTAACTGGTGATTTTGTGTGTAAGTGTGTTTGTATTCATGTATGGCTAACTCTTTTTTAAATTGTTTTATTGATTATGCTATTACAGTTGTTCTGATTTTTCTCCCTTTACCACCCTCCACTGAGCACCCCTCACTCCCTCAGGATTGCTCACCATTGTTCATCCCCCCCGACCGTTGTCCCTGCCCGTGGGTCACGTGTAGGTGCTTTGCCTACCCCATTTCCTATGCTGTACTTTACATCCCTGTGGCTAATCTGTAACTACCTATTTCTACTTCTTAATCCCCTCACATACTCACCCAGTCCCCCACACCCCGCTCCATTTGTCAGCCATCAAAATGCTCTCTGTATCCATGATTCTGTCTCTGTTTTTCTTGTTTGCGTAGTTTGTTTTTTAGATTCAATTATTGAGAGATATGTACTCATTGCCATTTTATTATTCATAGTTTTGATCTTCTTTTTCTTAGTCATTTTTGACATTTCTTATAATAATGGTTTGGTGATGATGAACTCCTTTAGTTTTTTCTTATCTGGGAAGCTGTTTATCTGCTCTTTGATTCTAAACGATAGCTTTACTGAGTAGAGCAATCTTGGCTGTAGGTACCTGCTTTTAATGATTTTGAATATTTCTAGCCAGTCCCTTCTAGCCTGCAAAGTTTCTTTT